CAGCATCATGTGTCGAGACTGTTTGGCTGTCTATACGTTTACAATTCGAAATTGGTTTATCCTCACATTTCAATTTTAAATACATGAAGCTCTACTATTCAAGTCCTTCTCCACAGATCAGGCTCAATTTTCAATAGCTACTCAGTGAGTATCCTCTAGTGCCTCATCCTCAACTAGAGTCACTCTACTTGTTTTCTGATGTCTCGTAATTTATGAGCTGCAAATATTTTGCGAAATTCCTTGCACATATTTTGGAATATTTCTTTAAACTCAATGAAATCTTTAGCCATACAAGTTATTGGTGAAGAACTTTAATATATTTAGCTATTTATTCGAAGGAAGTTACATTATGATAGCTGGAAAAAAAAATATAAATTAAGGCATACTCACCCGGGGATGACGAAAGCGTTCCAATGTCTTTACCGAGCTCTTTAGCAGCTCTGTAATGGTCTCCTTGCGACGCGGCTTGTGCAGTTTCTCTGCCACTTTTTTCTCAAATATAAAAATCGAACATTCCTACAGAGACAGATGAAGAGAGAGAGAGAGATAGAGAGAGAGAGAGAGAGAGAGAAAGTGAGATAGATGGTAGGAGAGCTGGCAGTTTTTTGTTTGAAACGCTCACCTTGTTGTCACTCTTGCGATATCCATCGTGTATGCGCCAGACGAGCTCTGGGCCGGCACAGGCCACCGGCTTGCCAATCTCAAAGTACTGCGTAATGGGATTGCCATCGGCGACATTCTGCACGGATGTGGAGGCCGCCACGTTGGCGCTTTTGAACTTAGCGAACATTGTGCCAGCGGGCATACCATCGATTAGCTTTGAGAATACATTCGAGAAGCTGCCCTGTCGCTTGCAATGTGGCACACTTGTATTGCTGCTGCCGCCTATTGTTGGCGCTGAGCCACCAGCTCCGCCGCCCGCACTAGCCGCAACGCCTGATTCGTTACCCGATGATGCGCCACTGATGGACAAACGTTCGCGCAGAGTTATTCCCAAGCTGCTGACCGTTGTGACTGGCACATTGACTGATCCGAGTGAGCTTCTATCCTGCGATGCAGCTCTACTTGCCGCACCGGCTCCTCCACTGACACCGACACCGACACCTGAACCGCCAGCGACACCGACACCTACACCTACTCCTGCACCAGCACCTGCACTCGCTCCAACGCCATTAAATGTATCGCATTTCGCAGTTGACGCGTTGTCTCCGTACCCATTCACATCGCCAGCGAGAAGTGCTGCTCCGCCGCCGCTGGAATACTTGCGCGTATGCGCTCCTAGTTGGCTCTGACTGAGCTCGAGTATTGTGCTGGCGCTGCGATTACGCGCTCCTGCCGCATTGCCCAAGCCCGCGCCCACTCCCCCACCGCCGGTTCTGGCTGGTGAACCCGCTGCCACCGCTGCCGCTGCCGCTGCCACTGCACCACCGCCGGGCGTTATTCCAACAGCGCTGCCACTGCGACTGCGTTGCACCTCCTCGACACTATCCAAACGTGAAAAAATTCTGGCCGCCGTTGTTGCCGTGTTGCTGCTGCCCGCACTATGCACCGCCAGCCAACTATGAGCACTTCCGCTTCCGGATCCAATGCCCCAAACAGCCAGCTGTGTTATAACTAAAGCTCAAGCCGCCGTTCCTGCTTTATTGCCGATGTGCTGCAAGTAAAAAGAGAGAGAGAGAGAGTAACGCAAAATACGCTTTTAATTGCGGTCACTTCACATGCCCCACAGTTGCCACGCACCGCGCGCCAAGCGCCAGGCACAACGCACCGCTGGGCCAGCGACGCGCGCTCACCCGTCAGCGCAGCTGCTCGACAACCAATTGAAATACCCTGTTGCAATTTTATATAGCAAGGCATATTGTCAATTCGACTGTCCTCAATGGCAGAATATAAATAGAAACTCTAAAATTTAAATTTAAATGTCGTTATAAAATATTTTATTAAAGCCTTTACCAGCACTGCAGTGCGAACGCACAGTTATCGATACTTTGATCGCTTAAGCGATATCGATATGCGCTTCAATTTAAATGAAGCTAAATTTGAGCAGCATCTTTGGCATTTAATTTACCCTGTATTTTGACGTATATTAAGTGCGACTTACTTTAATATTCCCTTTCGTGGTAATGAATCTTTTTAAATTGTGGGCTTTTCCTTGAATATATACATGTATACCAGGTATTTGATAGGCCTCGCAACGGCTGTTTTGCAGCACCTGCCACTTTATTTTGCACTGGCAATTAATACGCTTATTGCCGGTCTGACTTTTATCTTACATTTATTTTCGTTTTTCATCTCATTCTTCCGCCAGCTTCACACAAAACTGCACAATTAAAAAGTTAAATGAGCTCTGAGCGCCATTCAAATTGAGTGTCAGAGTCCGTGTGGGTCTACGCCTCTGTGTATGTGTGTGTGTGTGTATGCTAGCATGTATGCCAATGTGTGTGTTCGTGTGTGTGAGTTTGGTTCATAATTTTATGAAAATATGCTTAAGCTCATTATCTCTTTATTAATTGCTTTAAAAGTAAAAATTATTATATACGAGAGTGTATGTATTTATTTTCATATGTACTTAACGCGTTTGCATTTCCATTTTCCAATTGGCCAAATTGAAATTAAATGCCATGCAATGTGTCAAAAGTTGCTCACTGTAAATACGTGAGGTAGTTTACTTTTTGCAGTCACTGTGCAAACACTCTGCGCCCTCTGTGCACACGTTTGTGTTTGCTCCGAGTAGTTGAGCAGCTGAGCATCCGTCAGAGCGTCTGAGCTCCTATGATGGCCACAAATTGACTTGGGAAGACTTTGGCAATGGCAAAGGCAACTGCCAGGTGGCAGGGGCCAGAGAGCAGAGGGCACAGAGCAAAGAGCAGGGGGCAGAGAGTAGTGAGCAGAGGGCAACATAGCCAAAATAAATTTCAGAGCGTACGTTAAACTATTTAGTACAAATACTTGGTGCTTTTGCTTCTGGCCATTGCGTTTCATTTGTACTTCATGGCTAAATAAATAAAATATGAGACAGCCGCTCGCTCAGAGAAGCGCCTAAAAGCATTCACGGGGGCTGACACACAGACATTGAGACTAGGCTGGAGAGGGTGTGGGAAAGAGACAGACGGCTGCCTCCAAGACAAGTTACTAGGTCAGCAGTTGAGGCTTTAAGCCGGATCCAATGAGCATAAGTTGAATTTGGCTTCAAAATTTATAGGCCATAAGCGAGTGTTGAACTTCAAACGGTGAATCAATAAGGCCACAACGTGTATTCACGTTGATTACATCTGCATAGGGTTTAGTTCAGTCGGTAAGCCGGAAAACCAATTGGGTTTTTACATAAAAGCCACGCAAATGCCAACTAAGTCCTTAGAAATTTAAATTTTATTATTAATTTTATGATAACTTGACTTCCAGCTAAACCGAAATGTATATCAACTTTTATGAAGATAAATTGCAAAGTGTGTGAGATGGGGAGGAAGAAATGGACAGACATAATAAGTTAGAGGGGAAGAGAAATTACACAGATATAGAGAAAGAGGGACATGAGTGTGAGAAGGAAAGCTCAGAGTGGGAGATAAAACTGAGAGAAAGAGAGAGAGAGACAGAGTGGGAAAATTAATACTGAGAGAGAGACAGAGCGAGCGAGCAACTGACAGAGAAGTAGATATGTATATAATGAGAAATAGAGGGAGACAGAATATATATGTTGGTAGAGAAAAAGAGAGACATATATATTAATGCAGAGTGCCTTGCAGCAWGGAGAACTTGAATCAAATATATATTTATATATTTTATTTATAAAAGATATCAAACTCTCTTCTAAAACTCTCCCTTCCAAAAGTCTCTTTTATTTGGTTATCCCAATTAACTAGTTGGAAAGCTTGGCTTATGCGTTACGTTCCGAATGGTAACAAGCTGTAGTGGTCAGTCCGTAATTTACTTTTAAAGCGCACTGTAACGAACTGGCAACAGTTAAATTTCAGCAAGACTAATCAAAGGTTGTAGTGGAAGCATGACCTTGAAAACAAAGCAAATTTTCACGAGTTTGTTTTTTGCTTTGTAGGACTCAAATGCAGGCATATATATCTATATATATACGTATAGATACATATGTATATATATATATAAGCATTCGGCAGTAAAACTTTTGGCACATTTTCCACATGAATTTAAGCACAGACTGGCGTGTCCAATTAAAATTCATGAACTGAAGAAAAGACCGAGCCTGATAAACAATGAAAATCGAGTCGTTTACTTGGGCCAGCCTGGCACAGTGAAAAATTAACACTCTCACTGCGTGTTCAGCCATCGGAGATGGTCTTTAATCAGTGCAGAAATTGTTTACACAGGCCCACTGCTGCACGGCGTCGCCATTATCATTATGATGATAAATGGCAATGAATGTCAATGCCGAAATTAGCGAAAATTCAAACTAAAATCCGAACTCGGATTTGAATTTAAATTTGGTAAATGCGAGCACGCAACAAATCGAAGTGGCTCTGAAGGAGAGAAAAAAAAAAGGCGAACCCGAAATGTGAAATGCGAAATGCGAAACAGCGACTGGCAGGTAAGCAAGGTGAGCCACAGAAGAGGACACACACAGTGGGTCACTTTTATTGATTTCCACACACACACACACTCAAACAGAGGCACACAGCAGCCCAAATTAAATGATGAAAGCAAAATGTTAACAAAACTGAGCGAACGAACGTGAAAGGCACAAAGCGCGAAAATTATTTTCGTTTTTATTGTGTGCGTTGCCATTGTTGCCGTTGTTGTTGTTGTTGTTATATCTGACAATTTGGCATATATAAATACATGAGTACACACATTTACACACACTTAAGCACACTCACAGGCTGCCCTATATATATGCCTAATATTGTGTGTATCCAATGCTTTGTGAGTTTAATATTTTTAGCCTAAAGCTAAACGAAGATAGGCAGCAGCAAAGGCAACAGAAATGTGTAACAAACGTTGCTTAGCGCTAACTGAAGACAAACACAACACACACACATACACCAACGTACACACACACACACACAAGCAGACGTAGAAAGCACACAAAGTCCAAAATAAACGTAGACTCTGACGAGCAACAGCGCACTGATGTCTCAATTAAAAAAAAGTGATGGTCCTTTTAGTCACACACACACACACTCACACTCTGGCACATACTCAACACAGCCACACAAACCGTAAAAACAACAGCTATAGTTGTGTGAGCCAGTCTGGCACATATTTTGTTTGCTTTTGCCTCATTTATTGTGCGCCTTGGCGAAAAGGACAAAAGCAGCGTCTGATAAACGGTCGCCACTGTCACTTACACACGCATATAAACCACACACACACAGATACACATATGTCAGCCAGTTGTGTAGATTATAGACATATGCGATAGCTATAGAAACAGCCTTTGTCCTACGGAGCTTGGGCTCTGTTGCTGGGAAAAATAAAATATTCTTGGCAAAACAGCTTTAAAAATTCCCTTGAATTGCCTTGAATCAACCGAAAAGCCGTATATTATTAAACAATATCTCTTACTTAAAGCATAAGCGATCCTCTCTGCTAGTGAATATCCTTACAGCTTTAATATCTTAGCATCAGCTTGAAGCTCTTAGCTTATTATTGGCTCTGCATTCCTTCTCTCTTTTATTTTCCATTTTCTATCTGCTGTCTGTCATCTTTCTTCGGCTTCTCTCATCTGTCTTCTTTATTTGCTTATCTGTGATATCTCGTGTATCTTTTCTCTCTGCTCTTCTTCGCTTCTTGCTTCTCTCTTTCCTTAACTCTATTCATATCTATTCTTCTTTGCCTCCTCTTCTCTCTTATATTCCCTCTATTCCATAGAGGACAAGCTTCAATATGTTCTTCGTACTCAAAAGTGCTTTAATGTCTGATTAAATCAGCTGAAAGTACATAAATAAATGTAGCCCCTAGTCAAAGGACGACCCTCGACAAGCCCCACAGTCTCCCCCACTCGCAAGCAGAGCGAACGGTGTCTGTACACATATGTGACTTTCATATACGTTTAACGACCACAATAAGCAGTCATAAGCATAACAAATGCACAAATGGGACAGACTACTACTCCTCCATGTGGGGGCCAGAGCGAAGGAGCTCAGTTCGTTTGATTCTGCGACCGAGAACTGTCATCAGGCATTACGTATACGCAGCATAGGTCAAAGCCGGGCTGCTGCATTGTTAATTATCTCCACTCAAGAGCGACTCGCCCGAGTAGCCCATTGTCAAATGGAGCTCAACGTATTGCGTCTCTCTTGCTTGCTTGCTTGCGGCTTGCGTAATATAATACAATTGATAAGGGTTCCACTTCGAACGCTTGTTAGCCATGAGCAGCCGGCAGTTAGACATTTCGACATTTAGATATTGGGGCCGCATATCCCATGCAAACGCTATTTGGATAGTTGGGTAGCTGTATCATGGCGAAGACAGCGACGCAGCTGCGGTGTGGCAAACCTGGCTAACTCATTGTGACAGCGGCAAGTGAGCGTACATTTGCATATTTCGCATACGCCACGTGAAACGTGCCGCAACGCGCATTGACGCGACGTTGTGGGTGCGGCTATGAATGCGGGTGGCGCTTTATCTGTTGCTGATGTTGCTGGGTGGC